AAAAAGAGAAAAAAAATTATATGATAACTGTATTATATATTTAAGAGGAAAAGCAAGTTGTATATAATAGATTTGCAGTTTCGTGTGCAATTTTTTTTTGTTTTTGCTGTACGATATTCTGAAAATTCTTGTTTTGTCCCATAAATTAAAAATAAAGTAATTTTTAAAAAATTTTAAAGGGAATGAAAGAAAACATTTAGCTCATAGTTTTAGTATAGTGATGCCATGGTGAGCCTGAGCTATTGATGAAATGTAATCCTAGATATTTCTCAAAATCATCAGACTGTGTCAAGTGTTTGGATACCTGACGAATTATGACAGAAGATGTGTGAATTGTCAGTAGTGTCTATTTCTGTGCTCTACTTTAGTCCTTCTGAAATTATCATATGTATTAGCAGAGAAGGCACTGAATATGACCATTTTTGTGATAGCTTTGCTTCCCCTCTACTGTGTAATGATTTTTCCCTGGCCTTTTGACTCCCACTATCTACAGGTGATTTTGGAATCAAGCACTCCCTGCTCCTTAGAGGTTAAATGCTACTGTCAGCAAGACGGGGTAGGGGGTGGGGATGGGCATCTATATATGTTTGTGTCACTCTTGTCACCATGGAAACAAAGGGACCGTGGTTGTCCAAGGAGATAGGCGGTATAGGTTCTTCAAATTTGAGTATGTTTAGAACCCTGTTAACCTCTGTTGAGGTAATGAGAATTATCTTATTTTCATGGACTAACAACTGGAATGGTAGCTGAAGTTCTCATAACAGATTGTAGTTTAAAAGTGAATGGGGAAAGTAGTTGGTTTCAAAACCACCTGCAAATGGCAGGAGCCAAAAAAATAAATGAAGGAGGTTTATTTTTACATTGTGTGTTCTTTAAATAATGAACTTTATTTAAAGAGAATGTGGATTTGGAGAGTTTAAAAAAGCATCTTGCAACTTACTGCTGATTATGTAGTTTTGTCAGTGATTCTTTTGCATCAGAGTACTCCTAAGGAGAACAGGATCTAGAACAATGAATGGAGGGTCTTAGAGTTGTATGTAGTCTAATTCTTATTTGTTGATCAGTGAATCATCACTTCCGCAGGCATGTAGGAACCAAAATGATACTTCCTCGTGTTCTGTGGTTGCTTCTTCCACCCCAAATAAAAAAGGGTAGGTTGATACTAGTTAACTTAAAAATAAACAAAAGACCACATTGACTGTATGTTTAAAATGTATTTCCCAGGTCCCCTTTTATCCTATCCGAATCCTTTTTTTCCTTCAAATTGCTACTTTCCCCATCCATTTTCAGCCTCTCTACAACTTCCTCAGCCTCATGTCCCCTTTTGTCCCATTCTTTTGTTCAGCAAGGATTATAATATATCAGTTCCTAAACCTGAAGTAAGAAGTTTAGAAGGTTTGGAGATATTATGTTATAAAGAAAAGAGCACTGGAGTAGGAATCTGGAAAATTGGATGCTAGGCGTGCTTCTGTCACTATGATATATATATAGGTATAGATTATATAGAGAGATGTAGATATAGATATATAACCTACCTCTCTCTCTCAATATATATATATATATATATATATATATATATATATATATATATATATATATATATATATATATATATATATATATGACTATTGTCAGAGGCAGTATTTCAAAGCTGGGTCTTTCTGATTGCAAACCAGTACTCTATCCATGTTATCACAGTGCTTCTCATAGAAAGGAAAGTATTCACATAACTATTACATGCCCATTGGGATCCCTAGGAAGGCCAAGTAGTGAGAGCCATAGAGGGTAATGAGGAGCAGTCAATAACCATTCCTGCCTCTTACTACCACTCTATCATTTATCAGAATTCCTCTTTTGGAAATCATTACTGCTCCTGTCCTGATAGAGCCAAGCCTCCTTGCTCCCTCTTCCCACAGAGAGCCTGAAAAAGGATAGTAGCAGCTATATAGTTGTCTCACTGAAATTTAAGAGTATTTTATGCTTTCATTACACAAGTTTTTATTTTATATTAAATTGCTCACATTGAATATTAAATTCATACTATACCAAGAGAGGAATACTTTTAAGATGATCTAATTCCATCTTGAATGTGGTTTTTTTTAAATAAAATAATTTATAACGTAAGGCTTCTTAAAAAAAAAAGATTTCTTTCATTATACCCACCCTCTAACTGGCATTTGAATAGGGCTTTAAGATTTGCAAAATGTCTTTAAATACATTTTCATTTGATATGAATTAATAATTTTTGTTCTAACTACCTCACAATATTGTGAGAATCAACCCTTTGCCCTTCACACTTTCCCTTAGCCTAGATCCTATGGGGACTGAGGGGGAGAAGGTCCCAGCCTGAGCAGGCTGGTGCTAAAGTGGGACTGCCCTCACTCTTTTCTGACAAAAGAGCCCAATCTCAACCTTCCTGCCAGCTTATCTGTATAGGTAGGATCAATGTCCTTTCCCCTTTCCCATCCTGGCAGTGAGGGACCCCAAAATCCCCTTTCTATTCTGACTCTTAGGACCATTCCTCCTTCCCACTTATGGTGGACCACTCCTCTGAGACAAACATCCCAATGCATCTTAAGAACTCTTGGGCCTTACCATCTTAGGATGTTTCCTGCCTTTCTCCTAAACCTGCAGCTGAACTCCAGTTAGAATGTGACCTCCTTGAGAGCAAGGACTGTCTTCTTTTTCTGTTTGTATCTCGAGTGCTTAGCACGTGAAAATTTTTCCTTCATTCATCAATTGTATGAGGAAGTGCTTAGAGGTTAAAATGCCATTAAAAGAAAGAATATGTAAATGTTCAAAAGAGAACTAAATTCATCACAGATTTGAAACAGCTTTTGAGAAAAGGCTAAGGCAGTTATTGCTATTTTAGCTAATCCTCCTTGCCTACTACCATTATACTAAAACTCCTTGGATTCCTTCATCTTCTGTCTTTCTATTGGTTTTTCCCTACTTTCTATATTAAATGTGTATTTTTTCTGACCTTCAAAGCATTGGACTGTTCTTAACCTATTTTTCTTTTCCTCCATTCTATGACCTCTTTTCTTTGCTCTCCAGAAACTTTCTGGTGATCAATTTCAATATTTTCTTTCATTCTATTCTTGTATTTTCCCACAGTGACCCTTAGAGCTGGCATTCATTTGGCAAGTTGATACTAATTACTATCAACCCTTTTTTCCCCCCAAACAACATTCTTTAAAGGATTTTTTCCTCCATTTTCAGAAGCATTGGCTCAAGAAGACTTGTATATAATACTCTTTCTTTCCACTGAAGCCTAATATGCAAGCGTAGTAAAGGACTCATCTGGTGATTATTTGCCTGGAAGAAGTTAAGGTCCTGATAGTGGATCCTATGGGAGAATATAGTTGTATAGCTGTTCAGTAACAGTAAACAGCTACTCACATATCGCCTTGCTTGTGTACCCAAGAAGTCCAGTGAGAATGTCAGGGCTACTGAGTCTGGAGAGTTATCTTTGTTATGTTGTAATTTTGGGTATCCATTAATGTTTTCTTCTCTATAAATATTTTCTTCTCCATAATCATCTTGCCTTTGTGTCTAATTTCGACCATAAACCCATGGTGCTGGGATTATGCTTATTTCTTTATCGTATTTAGCATAGCATTATACTAATTTTCAGATAATTTTACAGCCAACATTTAAATAAATATTACTTATTTGGCTGCTTATTGGGCTTTCATATTGATACTTGGTTTTAGTTTTCAGATTTCCTATGCAGTTTAAAAAAAATAGTGTCTTCTGTGCATTACTCTATTCCCACCTCAAATTGAGTTAATTTTAAGCTTTCTTTGTAAGCATATTTCCAATTATCATAATAATATTAATAATAATAATGAACTCTTTGATATTATACTATCAGTGATATAATTGTTTTGTTTTGTTTTATTTTTATTTTTAGGCAATTGGGGTTAAGTGACTTGTCCAGGGACACACAGCTAGTAAGTGTCAAGTGTTTGGTCTGAGGCTGGATTTTAACTCAGGTCCTCCTGACTTCAGGGCCAGTGCTCTATTCACTGCGCCACCTACCTGCCCCCAGTGATATAACTGTTAAGAAGAAATAGAGGTTTTTAGAGGTTTGGTAGAGATTTAAAATTTGGCAGTAGGGACAAAGCTTTCTAATACAGGCTCTGACTTTTCCTCCTCTTTTTGAGCTGAGTGTTTTGTAAGAAAATAAATAGTAGATATTTTATTAGTAGGGGCATTTTGCTTATTAAGCAGGCTCCATTCTTAAGTCTTCTTGGGGACTTAAGAGGGTTAAACAGTACTTTTTTTAAAAAAAATTATTAATTTGTTTTGATTTATCAACAATCACTTCCATATGCTTTGGAGTTGAAAATTTTTCTCCCCCCCCCCAAGACAACACACAATCTGATATAGGCTTTATATTTACATTCCTATTAAACATATTTTCTTTCACATTAGTGAAGTTGTAAGTAAAAATTAAAACCAATAGGAGGAACCGTCAGAAAGATCAAACAAAACTCAACAGAGGGTGAAAATAAGTGATAGCGATTCGACTTCCATAGTTCTTTCTTTGGATGTGGACAGCATTTTCCATCCCGAGGCCTCTGGAGATGTCTTAGATCCTTGTAATGCTGAGAAGGGTTCAGTTTAACAGTATTAGTCATTGCATAATGTGGCTGTTATTGTTAAACAGTACTTTTAACTATGGTTGCTGCTTGTATTGTAAAACAAGAGGGTGTTATATTCATATTAATTCCCTCAGACATTTCCCTCTGTCTCTGTGTTCTTCTTGGAGACAAGTGATCTAAATCAGATTATCAGAAAAGGAACTAGCTATGAAGAGCAAATTTCTAAACATAAATTAAATCTGACTTGATCATTCCCTTCTGAGTTTTAAAACATCTTTTTAATCTTTTTTTCTGACTCTTTAAAAATGGTGGGCAGTCAAACTTGATACTCATTTTCCTATCCTATCTGTATGGATAAGTTGGCATTTCAAGTTTTTTGTTCTTCCCCAGGAGACAGGAGCAGTTCCAGAAAAACCCCGACAGTTACAATGGTGCTGTACGTGAGAATTACACCTGGTCTCAAGACTACAGTGACCTGGAGGTTAAGGTGCCAGTGCCCAAGCATGTCCTGAAAGGGAAGCAGGTAATAAGTGTTAGAGCTTCTGAGTCACAGATGGATCTAATATTTTCCAGCCCCTCATTTCCCATAATTCAAGCACAAGTGACAACTTGTTACTTCAAGGGTGATCTGTAACCTTTACTTAATCAAAGGCAGCACTTTAAATTTTGCAGAAATTAGGCTAGCTGAGCATGAAGTGAGACAGAGTACATCTTTTATATTCATCTAATGAAGATGTGATCCAGATGTGATCTGCTAAGGAAAGAATCTGTTACTGGTAAAATGTCTTGGGATGAGATTGTTTTAGAAATAAGTAGGCTGTGGAACTGTAATGATCCATTACTTTATATTTTCACCTAATTTTTTTTTCTACCCAAGAATATACTTTATCTCTTTCACTCTGTTTCCTTGCTATTACTTATGGCACTTTACAGCTTTTGGGTAACATATATTCCTGCTGATTGTTAATACTTACTTCCATGAAATCATTTTTGTCTTCCTTAGAACACTGTTTAATTTATGTTCTTTTGAAATTTAATTTAATACATTTGTCCCTCTTTTCAGAGGGATAAAGAGATAAATGTTCTTGTCAACATGCTACGTGTATATTATAAATGTAGTAAGTAAACCATACTTGGTATTTACTTACATTTTTATCCCTTCAAAGAAAAACTTGGTTCTCTGTAATTTCTAGATATACATCTCTATTCCTGACCTGTTTCCTGATTTCACTCACCTTTTCACATGTATTCCATATAGTACCACCTGGATGTCTCACTGGCACCTTAAACTGAAAACATATAAAACAGAACTCATTCTTCTCCCTATCCCCCTCAATCCTGCTCCTGTCCCATTTTGCCTCTGTCTTGCTAGTGATATCACCTTTCTTCAGTCTTATATGCTTTTAATCTTGAAATAATCTTTGATTCCTCCTTTATTCATGTATCTGGTCAGTTGCCGGTTCCTTGAAATTGTAGTGGCCAATGATTTTTCCAGGGACCTACTCGCTTAGTCGATAATATCTGAATAAATCATTGTTCTTTGGTGTTATTCTATATGATATAGATAACTTGCTGTTAAATAAATTATCGTTGCTATTTCTAGCTACTGCTGCTTAAGTAAGCTCACTGACTTGATTACAACTGGTCATAGCATTCTGACCTGACGTCTGTTTTCCAGATTCTATCCGGACTTCTGGTATCTCATTTGAAATTTTGATCTTACCCATTTCCTCCTCCCTCCCACCATAGACTGCATACAAAAGAGATCAGAGTCAATTCAACAAACATTAAGATTCTTTTTTATTCTAATATAATACAAGTTTTTTTCTTCAAAAACATTTTATTAGTGCTGTTTTCTTTTTAATGTCACTGTTACTTCCCATCCCTACTAGAACCCTCAAAGTTCTAGTGTTTGCTTTTGTCAAGCAAAACAAATCAATACGCTGGACATGCCTGAAAATGTATGCCTCATTCCATACCTCTTCTAGTCTACAACCTTTCTTCCAAGAGTCAAGAGCATATTTCACCTCCAGTCTTCTGAACTCATGATTGGCTATTTCAATAGTCAGAGTTCTAAAGTCTTTCAATATAGTTTTTCTTCACTGTATTATTAAGTGTAAAAAAACATTACCTTTAACCCTATCCACCCCACATCAAACCACCCATTCTGTGACCTAATATAGATGCAACATGGTAGAGTAGAAACACTTTTAGATTTGGGCTTATAGTCAGGGAGACCTGAGTTCAAATCCTGGCTTTGATACTTACTAGCTCTGTGATGATAGACAGATAACATTTTTGAGCCTCAATTTCCTCATCTGTAAAATAGAAATAACAATATCTGTAGTGCTATTATGAGGACCAAGTAAGACCATGTATGTAAAATGCTTTGCAACCTTTAAAGGTATATAAATTTGTTTTACTGTTAAGGGGAATGACATGAATATGTACAAGTGGATTTGTGATTTTGGATTTCTTCTCCCATGATGCAGATCTGCAACCTATTCTTCCTATTCTTTTTACGAAAAGTTCACCACATGGAGTCTGCCTAATATGCTATAGACCTTTCTCACTAACATCGAAAGCTGGAGTGCACCTGTTATCCATTGCCCTTACCACACGACCCAGCCCATTTCTTTCTGCTACATAGTTCCTTGATGTTATATCCTTTTTACCTGGCCTTTGTAGTTCCTTTTTGGCTTTATATTACAGACTGCCCATGCCCAACCAGGCTCCTTTCCTTTGGTCTCTGTGGGAAATTTAGTTATTTGGGAGCAAGTTTTCCTTCCAAACAATTCTACTGGTAAAAAGTTTGTATTGAGAAGATGGTCTTTGTTGCTATGGGAAGCTTGGGGAATCAGTAAAAATATAATTTCCTGAAAGCTATCCAACTCACTTTTCTGCTTTTTAACTCTGGGTCCAACTCCTTGTCTATCTTTACTGTCTGTCTCAGACATATTATTGGACAAGCTTTATTGTTGATTTTAATGAATGTTGAAATCTGGGTAGGAGGCATTCTTAATCCTTTTGGTCTTTCCCATGTAGGTGGACATGCTAAACTCCTTGGCATGATTACAGATCTCTTCTAGGAGCTTGTCTTGGGATTTGAGCCAAACAGAGTGATGTCATCAGTAAACAGGAGCATTTGGAGGACCTCACTATTCGCTGGGAATCCCTTTTCAGCCTGGGCTCTGTGCTGTATCTCTTCCTTCACAGTGGCAAATACTTTTGGTGACCATATGTATTCCATGAGATACGTGTAATCCATGGAACAAGGATAACATGCAAAATGATTTTAATAAAAATACATAAGTGCATAAGAGAGATACTAAGTGGTATATGGGCCAGGGAGAGGCAGTGCTGGTGCCAAGTAGGGGCAGCAGGGAAGGCTTTTTGGAGGAGGTTGCAGCATTTGATCTAGGCTTTAAAGAATGGGTAAGATTTTAGGTGACAGAGGTAGAACATGGAAGAGGAACATTGCAGACATAGGGACCATCATGAGCAAAGATATGGAGGTGGGAAAGCCTATATTGGTATGGGTAATATTGTAGGTTGTCCAGTTTGGCTGGAGTATGTAGGGAGGAAGAATATGAAATTACACTAGAGACAGAAGAACTTGCAAGATTGTGGAGGGCCTTAAACTTCAAATTGAGTTTAAACTTTGAGAGCCTTTGAGGGGTTTTGAGCAAAGGACTGACATGGCCAAATCTTTAAATGAGGAATATTAATGTGGCAACTATGTGAAGAACAGATGAGAAAAGTTAAGTCTTTTTAGAAAGTAAGATCATTACAATAGTCCAGGTGACTGGCAATGAGGTGGCATTGATAGCATGATGGTGGCATAATTGGAGAAGGGATAAGTTCAAAAAATACTATTAGAATAGACTGAGCAGTTTAAAGTTGAGATGTGGAGCTTCCCAGGGAAGAAGATTCTTTCTGAGCCTCTTGATAATACCAGGAATGCTACAGAAGCTCAGTATTTGAAGAGATAAGCCATGTAGAAATTGATTTGGGTGTTTTGTTATAGACCAAGAAATGGCAAGAAACACTGGGTTTTGTGGTCACTTCAGAAAGGGGAGAAACATTAATTTTGAGAAGTTGTTGAGACCTAGTAGATTATTTAAGATGAACATGATATGGATCAAGTGTCAGACACATGGCTTTGCTTAATAGTTGTCCTTAAATACTGGTTAAGAGGGAGGAGTCTTTTTCATTGATTTGGGTGAGTATTTGTTTTAGGTTATCATAAGCGAGTTTTAAGATTTAGATCAACTTATACCTTCTTTTTCCTCTTATTCATAAATTTACTGTTGAAAATATCTTTTCCAGTATATATTCTAATTTGAAACATTGTTCACACAATTCTGGCTCCTAGGGCAGTTGTCCATCACATATCGTCCTTTCCTCCCCCACTGTCTACCTCCCATTCCCCATCTTCCCCCTAACCCTGGGAATCATCTCTATTGCCACTTTGTTGGCTTAGGCTAGATTTTGAAATCCTACATTCATATCCATCATTACCTTTCCTAAGGAGGTACAGCTTGGCTTTCATTTAAGAATAGCCTTAAATTTATGGCTCTTTCTAATACTATTAATTAAATTGATCCTATCATGAGATCTTCCACATAAGCAATTAATTTATTTGATATATCAATAGAATATAAGCTCCTAGAAGGCAGCTGCTATTTTCTTTGTTTCCTTAGAGCTTTGCATTTGGTAAGTGTTTAATAAATGTTTATTGAGTGGAATTGGTATTGATATGTTTAGGAAAACTCCTGTTTCATTTATATTAGTGCCTTAAGGTGAGAAGGTTTATGTCTCACTTCATCTTTTGAACAGTTTGATTTTTTTTCTTCTCTACTTTGTATTCTTTGTTCTGTTATGCTAATAATAGCTGACATTTATATAGTGGTTTATAGTTTACAAAAATAATTTATATAACCTGCTAATATCTCATTTGCTTCTCCAAAGAATGTACTAGGTAGCTCAAATAAATGAGCTTATTAAAATGAGGATATAAAGGCATTAGAGAGGTAAAGTAAAGTGCCTTGTGCATAGTAGATCCTTAATACTGTTTGTTCACTTGAGTTGAAGTGAATTGCCTATAGTCATTCAGCTAGTAAGTGGTCAAGACTTGTCTTAATCTCTGGTCTTTTGACTTCAAGTCCAATATGTTTTTGTTTTGTTCTGTTTGTGCTACTATAGTTCTACTATGATTCTTTGAGTCCTGGTCTCAATTTTTAAATCATTAAGATGATTTTTTAAAAAATCCTTTAAGGAATTTCATGTCAAACTTAAAGACTTCTGAGTAAGTTTGTCTTATGTCTTGGGTTTTTCTAACTTGTATTATTTTTTTTCTTCTTGAGTTATTACCTGATTTATACACAGCTCTTCTCTGAAATTAACAGTTACCTGTCAGCCACAGTTCATTTCAAATAAGTCACGTGACAGACACTTCTGAGAAATGATTGTAGAACTTAGTTGATAAAAATCTTGTCCTATTCTAGGTTATAGAGAGTGTGTTCTGAGAGAATGATGGGGAGTCATGAGAAGCTTTTTTTGGATAGATCTTTAGAATAAAATTTTAAAACATTTGAGTCCCCTACCTTCATTTCTGCCCCTGACTTATCATGATCATTTTTCTTCATCCTTTTTCTTATTGATATATTTCCCTTTTTCTAGAACAGTTAGAGAAGAGGATATATTTGCATCTCATTGTGTCATGAGGATGAATAAAAGAGTATCTGGGAGACTGAAAAAAGTGTTCTTATTTCAGGTTCAAAACTTTTGATAGTTGTGCTGATGAATCTTAAGAAATAGCCCCTTTTCAAAATGATTATTTAAAAATTTCACAGTTTAAAATTTTGGGTACTTCCAGTCTCCTTTTTGGTTTTTATTTTGATGAATTTCCAATTGGGAAAGTTACAAAGTCCACTTTATGTTTATTGAGTTTCTGTTTTGTTTCCTTATTATTGCCTTGGGCTGTATATTATGAACTTATATCTACAAGGTTGTTAATGCCACTTTTGGAGCAAACTAGGACAACTATTCAGTTGACAAGCATTTGAGTATCTCTCCTGGGTAGAAAATGTTTGGTCTTATTATGACACTTGCTTAAAACTTTGCCAGAGCCTTCCATGTGACAATGTGGTGTGTCAGTGTTCTGCTAATGAGCTAACTTCATCTGGAATACCCTCACTTTTCTAAACACCAGTGAAGATAGCCTCCTTTGCCTGATTAGGTGCTCCCTGCTATCTAGTGAGACTTCTTGGCAATGTAATTTGGAGTCACCAAGACAATATGTCATGGCTTGATGTATGTCATAGGGTGTGGTTCTCTCTAAAACTTTACTGTCACACAGCTATCTTATAAGGTGAATGAACTATCATATTAAAGGGCAGGATAGTGAATCTTGTAGAGGAGGTGACCTCTATTGAGATCTTACCACTCAATCTGCTGTTAGTGCAGCTGCCATTTATGCTAAGGAAGCATGCACACGCGCGTGCACATACACACACACACGCACGCACACACACACATACACACACGTCCCAGCAAGATATTTTTTCTTGTCTTAGAAATTGTTCAGAAGAAAAATTTGACATCTTATGGTAAATGTCAGCAATGAAGTTTCCATTAGAGAGACATCTACAATGGAGGTCACATATAAGTACCCTAAGGCAGATTCTTATCTTTTTCTGCTTTCTATTAATTATGAAAATTAACAGATTTCATTAAAATGTAGATTTTATAAAACTAAATTGTTTGGTCCCTTGCTCTCTGAGAAATTACTTCTGTTCATCAGCACCATTATACCATTTTAACAGTTTTGACTAACTCCTATTGGCAGACTTTTTCAGTCTTAGATTTTGCTCCTGTCTACATACTGTAGCTATAGTGGCTTTCTTGCTGTTCCTTGAACATGACACTCCATCGCCTAACTCCATGCCCTTTCACTAGATGTCCCCCATATCTGAAATACTTTCTTTCCTTGTTTCTTCCTCCTGATTTATCCAGTTTCTCTTAAGATTTGGCTCAAATCTTGTCTTTTATAGGAAGCCTTCCTTGCTCTCCTCTTCTCTCTCCTCCTCCCTCACATAAAGGGGGCCATCTCCAGTCGTTTTGATCTATATCTTGCCACTGAATCCACATGGCTCCAGAGGAGAAAGTGATGCTGGTGACTTTGCACAGCCCTTACTCACTTAAATCTAATTCACTTTCAAGTCATGGGATCACCTTCCTGATATCATGGTCCTCTTAGAGAACAAAGGACAAACAACCTGTGAGTAAGTAGTACAAGCTGACCCTACTGGGGACCCAACTAGCCAGTTCCAGTTGGGCAGAATAGCTCTTTCCTTCCTTCTTCCCCTCCCCTCTTCTCCCTTCATCTCTCCTCCCCTCTCCTTTCCTCCCCTCTTCCCAGCCCAAGTCCATATGGCCATTATTTGAACCCTGATGACTCAGAGTGAATGTAAAAATCAGTTGTTTCTTTTTTGGCCAGTCTTCCCCTCTCAGATTGATTTTTTTTTTTGACTAGGTAGAAGATGCCATTCTTTGCCTCATTTCTTACCTAGCTTTAATCATTGAATGGGTGTTGCCTCAGTCAAACAGACCTGGGAAAGACCTTGGCTTACTTAACAAGGCCACGGTCTGCCTCTGTCTCAGGGCCATCTCCAGTCCTGATCTGTGTCTTGCCATTGGATCCAGATGGCTCCAGAGGAGAAAGTGAGGCTGGTGACTTTGCACAACCCTTACTGACCTAAATCCAGTTCACTTGAAGGTCATGACATCACCTTCCTGATGTCATGTCCTCTTCTACAGGATGAAGAACAAACAGCAATGGTAACAACCCTCACATAAATCACAGCTCTACAGTCACAGCTATTGCCTTCCTTCTAAGATTACTTCCCATTGACACTATATATATGTCTTGCTTGTACTTAGTTGTTTGCATAGTATCTCCCTGATTAGAATGTGAGCTCTTTGAGGTCGAGGACTGTTTTTGCCTTTCTTTGTATCGCAAGTACTTAATATAGTACCTGGCACAAAGTAAGAATTTAATAAACATTTGTTGACTGAAAAAGAAGGGACAAGATTTGGCAACTGATTGGATATGGGGTGAGTCAGAGTAGGGAATCTAAAAGATGGATGACATTGAGATTGTAAACCTCGATAACTGGAAGGATAGTAGTTCCCTTGACAGTCAAGTCACGAATCATCTTTGGATCGCAGTTTTCTCATCTGTAAATTGAGGACATTGGACTAGATAATTTCTGAAGTCCCCTCCATCTCTAAATCCTATATTCTTATGTTACAGAACTCTATATAGTTTTGTTTAAATATTTGCTGCCTAATAATGGGGAAAGGCAGAATAAGTTAATATTTGTTCATTTATATCAAGTTTTTATAACATGTAATTGTTAATGTTCTGAATGGTATGATTTAACTTGAAAGATGTACAAACCTATGTGCACATTTATAATGGGGTTCAACTGTCATCACTTGGCTTTTTTTTTCTGTTTCAGTAAAAAATTTGGTTTCGTATTTGTGTCCTGAACTAAACTACACAGATTTTGTGTATCAAAATGCATGATTTTATTTAAATAAAACATTAAGGAAAATTGCCTCATTTTCCCATTGCTTTGTGAAATAGATATGCTTTAGCAAAGTTGGCTGTTGGACAGATTAGAGTAAATTCTGTTTATTCAATTTCATTGCAAAATTGAAGGTGTATTACTGTATATAATTTTACCCTGAGAATTTGTATTAGAAAAATTTGGTAGCAAATGGGTTGAGTGTGACCAGCTCATGGTATACTGAGTATTGAAGCACCCCAACGTTCTGTATCTGCCAAAGCTCTGTTTTTCACCTTCCATTTCATATTTTATTTTGTAGGAATACTTTATAGATCTTACCTTTCCAAAGAAAGCCATTTGTCTCTTTTCTAGAAAGTTATTTATTGTAGACTCAACAACTACCAGGACTTAGCTTCCCTCCTTCTTTGGTCTGGCTATCTATCATGTTTAGTGGAATTGGGCTATAATATCATGCTTTGTCAGCAAATGTCTGGAGATAGCTTAATCCTGAAGTTTTAGTTTCTGTAAAAATGAAGGAGCACCATACTTTACTAGTTCTGTACATTTGAAATACTGTATATATTGTATTTATTTACAACAAATGATAACCATTTTTAATTTGGAGTGTAAGCTTTTGTTGGTTATAGTCTTGGTAAGTTAATAGTAATTATCCCTAATGTGATATCTGAATTAACACTCTGTTGTCTATCTCTTGCAAATAAGTATTCTACTCCCCATCTTATGAATTTAGTCCTTATTTCACAAGAAACACTTCCTCTTCTTCCATGATATGACTCTTAATTATTTCCTTTTCTTATGTTTTCAGGTATCTGTGGATCTCAGCAGTAGTTCTATCCGTGTGGCAGTACTAGAAGGGAGTGGGGAACGTGTTCTTATGGAAGGAAAGTTCACCCATAAAATCAACACTGAAAGTTCTTTATGGAGCCTTGAGCCAGGGAAATGTGTCTTGGTAAGTATAATTCAGTCTTTTGATATTTTGTTAGTTTGCTTATTTTCCCTCTTTGCTGTTCTTGAAGTTGTTGTTGTATAATGATGTAAACCATTTTAAAAATGAAATTATAGAGTTATTAGCAGGTATATTTTGCCATCTTGGTCTATAACCTACATTTTTTTTTTGTGAAGCAGTTGGGGTTCAGTGACTTGCCCAAAATCACACAGCTAGTAAGTTCTATGTGTCTGAGGCCGGATTTGAACTTGGGTCCTCCTGACTCCGCTGTGCTGTATCCACTGTGCCACCTAGCTGCCCCCTGTAACCTACATTTCTTAACTGTAGAATAAGGAAATATGAACCGCATTGGAAGTTAAGCCTCATGAGATGAACTTCCCTTTTGTAGTAGTGAACAAACACTTCAAAAGTGTTTTCACACTCTACCATAGTTTTAACGTCTTTGACTCCTGTTATCTTCTGATGTCCCATCTTCAAGAAAATGTCATCTTCATGCAGCTCTTTCATCGGGCTTTTTTAGACTTCAAGGCCCCAGTTCTGTTCTTAGTCCCTACTCTCTCATTGTTCTCCAGATTTCCAAAGTGCCCTGGACTCTAGATTTGGAAGGTCTCAGACCAAAACAACTTTCAAGTTGTGGGTGTTGAAGACTAAACATTCTCAATTATTTTCTAGAGATGATTAATTAAAACTCAATAATTTTCTGTTTTAGGGCTTGCCTTGTAGGTTTGCATACGAGTATACCTCTTTAATTCTTGAGCCAGTTTAAGCCAGTGGACAAAATGACAGTATCAGGAGCATCCAGGGAGCAAAATGTGTATAGATAATAATGAGCCCTATGGATGCTGATGAGGTTATCAAATGAGGTAGCAAAAAAAGCTCATACAATCTTAGACTGCGTTGAAACATATTTTACAGGAATGAGAAAGTTAATAGTTCTGTCATACTCTGCCCCAGTTAGACCACATCTGAAGTTTTGTATTCAATTCTGTGTGCTACAGTTTAGGAAAGGGCACCAATAAGCTACAGAAAGGCAAGAGTAAGCAACTAGAATGGTGAAGGACGTCAGGTCCATTAGGATCAGTTGAAGAAACCACAGATGTACATTTAAACTGGAGAAAACTGATGAAATGGCAGGGACAATGATAGCTGTGTTCAGGGATTTAAAGAGCTGTCATGTGAAAGGAGGATTAGATATTTTTCATTTAGTCTTAAAGGGCAGGACCTAAAGTAATGAGCATAAGTTATAAAGAGGCAAGTTTAGGCTTGATATTAGGAAAAACTTCCTAACAATAAGAGCTGTCCAGAGGTGGAACTGGTTGCCCCTGGAGGTGGTGGATTTCACCTTTTATTGGGGCTTTCAGGCAGAGGTTGAATGACTATTTACCATGTATGTTATAAAGAGGGTTTCTTTTCAGGTATGGTTTAAACTAGATTGACAGTAAGGTCCCTTCCATCTCTGAAATTCCATAATTCATGCTGCTCCCCTTGACATACTCTCCCTTCTTTATCCCCTGTTCTTATTCTGCCTTCTTCTGTCTCTCCATCTTTGTTTATATAGTCCTTGCACCAGGAATTGACTTTACTCTAAGCCACCATTTCTTCTTTTTAATATTTTTCCCTTCAAGGCCCAATTCAGGTGCTTCTTCTTTGTGGCCCTTTTCTACTCTTCCCTCATCCCACTCACCAGCTGTTATATCTCTCTCCTCAAATTTCTTTTAGTGCTATTTTTGGTGAATTAATGGTCAATAAAGTAATTTTTTGACTACTCACTTTAGAGCTCTGTCATTCATTCTTCTCCGAGGATGTCATTCAAAGGTGGGTGCTAAATGATTCCTGATCAAACCTGAGATGATAACATTAGATTTTTGAGGATGTAAACCTGGAAGGTAATAAAGTGTCAGAAGATATGAAACATACAGAAATATAGTAATCAACTGGCTTATAACCTCAAAGGAACCAACATGGGATACTGTCAGTTCATACCACTTTAATAAACAAAGATTAAAAATTAAATATTATGGCATGTTAACACCACATATTATGACATGTAAATTGGCCTTTGAAAACTAAGGAAATTTTACACCAAATTGAACTTAATGTATATACTTCAGATATCCTGGCAGCTGAATCATCTTACAGTTCTGTGGGTTTTTGTTTTTTTTTTTTATTGGACCAATGATTTTGTTGCATAAAGAATTCCCTCTTCTAATGTAGACTAGCATCACTCTGAAATCCATCAGCTTAGAGTTACCTGGGAGACTGAAAGGTTTAGAGTCATACAACCAGTCTGAGTCAGAGGTGGGGCTTCAACCTACCTGAAATCTTCCTGACTCTGAGGCCAGTTTCTGCCTCTCAGAGTAGTCATTATCCTCTCCATTTGACAGAAGAGAAATTGAGGTTATGACTTGCTCAGGACTTCATAACTACCTGTTTGCCTCAGCCAGCAACTGTTTGTATTTATTACCATGTCCATTTTAAGGATTGGAGACAGTTGTGGTGAATAGCCTCGTCACTAAGTGACAGGCAGGCTTCTGGCCCAGACAGCAGAGTAAGCAGTGAAGAACCGTCCTTTTCTTTAGGATCTTTAGATGGTTAGAAATGAAAGTAGCTCTAGAGATGACCTTGTTTAATCCTCTTATTTTGCAGATGAGGAATAGTACTTAGAGAGTTTAAGTGATTTACCCCTAGTCATGAGGCTGATGACAGAGGAATGACTAGGACTCAAGTCTTCTTCCAGTGCTTTTCCAGGATATTTTACTGACTTAACTATAGTTAATAAATAGAATTTTCATTTTACTAAGAGAAAAATAAGGCCATGAGCCCTAGATAGATGCTTTTGAGTAGAAGAATATTTGAGTGACTTCTTTGTTTCTGAGATACAGGTCTCCAAGCCTGATGCCATTTGTTGGTCTGTTCTTCATTGCAGCCCACCACAAATGAAGGCTAGTAACAGTTTGTAACTAATAGCAATGCATTCCTGTATATATTTCCCTCTAGAGTGGAGTAGCTTCTAGTGAGCACCTTCTAGATTGTGTTGTCTGACGTTATTGATGTCTTCACAGAGAAGGCAATAAGCTCCATAAATCTTTCTCCCTGCTGAGATTATTGCTAAAATAAAACAAACCAAAACATCTGGCCTCAGTGACAGACTTCTGGGCTTTGCTGTGGGGGAAATACTGAAGGTTTACAGTTGTGGTGTTCTGAATCCATTAGTATTGTAATCAATCTATCAACTCATTGCTTATTTTATTTTTCTTATCTTTGTAAAATGTAGTTATTATTACAAGTCAACCCTTGATTTTTCATGTTAATGAAGGTGGAACTACCTTTAGATTTGCAAAATGGTAGATGCTGCCAAAATAGGTCCATTTAACTGGAGATCCTATGATTCTGTCACTTTATTAGACTTTGATGTGTTTCTGTATTTGTATTTGAATATATGTGGTTAACATTCTGGAAATTCACTCCTAGCAGAATAATGAAGCCACATTCTGAAGTTCAGTCTTAGCAAAAACTGGGCAGCTCTCCAGTTTTCTGCTTCCTGACCCCTGCTTAACTAAACTTCTCTGCCACTTGCTTCATGCTGGAAATAGACAGCATTCTTTTTGATAGAAAGCACCAATTTCTCTGGAGCAGGAGAACTAGGTTAAGAATGTGGAATTTATAAGGCTTCTCTTCCTTATTCTAAGTATGTAGTATGGCAGCAGATCAAGTGATTAAGGAACAAACTGCTCATGAACGTAAAAACCAGAATGTTGAATACCACCTGCCCAGAGCACCTAGATATGTCTGTATTTCATATGTATATATTCCTTATGAATTTCAATAAGTTCAGGTCAGTGGTAGACTAGGTGCTGAAGGAAATACAAAAATAAATAAGATATATCACTACACTAGTCATAGTCAGCAAGCATTTATTAGACACTTACAGTGTGCCACGTACTGTGCTAAGCTTGAGGGATATAAAGAAAGGCAAAAACCAGAGTTTCTGCCCTAAAAGAGCTCATTTTAGTGGAGACAACAAGTAAACAAGTATGTACATACAAGATATACGATGTAAATGAGCAACAGTCTCAGAGGAAGCTTTTTCACTCTCTGTCTCCCATTGCTCAAATGCTCTCCTTCTTTGTCTCTGCCTCTTGACTTTAGTCAAGACCATGTTCAAATCCTGCCTTCTGCAGGGGTCTTTTCCCCATGTTCCTTATTTAGTACCTTCCCTCTGAGACTACCTCCCATTTATACTGCATATAGGCAGTTAGATAAAGGGTCAAGTTTGAGAACAGCAAAAATGTCTATATATCTACTTCTTAGAGTGCATGGAAGGAAATAACATGTAAGAAAAGTAGGAATGGGCCAGATTGAAAAGGACTTTAAAAGCCAAACAGAAGATTTTATATTTGATCATGGAAGTAATGGGCAGCCTTTATAGCTTATTGAGTAGGTTTGTGGCATGGTCAGACATGTGTTTTGGGAAGATCACTTTGACAGCAAAGTGGGAGATGGACTGGACGAGGAAGACACTTAAGGTAGGATAACCAACTGGCAGGCATCAATGGACTGATGAACCCTGTGGCAGGGTAGTGGCTATATAGATGGAGAGAAAGATGGGAGCTTTTATAACTTGGCTGCAACCTACCCTTCAAGCCTTATTATGCTTCATGCACTTTATGATCCAGCCAGACTTGCCTTCTTGCTGTACATTGCCTCATCTCCCCTCTCTGTGACTTTAGATATGTAATTCACCAGATCTGGAATGCATTCCCTTTTACCTCCTCCTCTTTGAATCTCTAGTTTCCTACAGCAGGTGGCTTATGTGGCACTGGACTCATGAGGCCTTTCCTGATTCCTGTAGCTGCTAGCGCCTTCCCAAATTACTTTGCATTTATTTTGGATTTCTTAGTTGTGTATTCGTTGTCTCCCTCATGGAATGGAAACTCCTTGAGGGCAGGAACTATTTCATTTTTGTCTTTCTGCCCCCAGCACCTAGCACAGTGCCTGAGGCA